TTATGTGCTCTGTTTATCAGCTCAGGTATCTGTGGTGTGTAGTGTATCTTTACATTTTGTTGATGTTTTATGTGCTCTGTTTATCAACTCAGGTATCTGTGGTGTGTAGTGTATCTTTACATTTTGTTGCTGTTTTATGTGCTCTGTTTATCAACTCAGGTATCTGTGGTGTGTAGTGTGTATTTACATTTTGTTGCTGTTTTATGTGCTCTGTTTATCAACTCAGGTATCTGTGGTGTGTATCTTTACATTTTGATGCTGTTTTATGTGCTCTGTTTATCAGCTCAGGTATCTGTGGTGTGTAGTGTATCTTTACATTTTGTTGCTGTTTTATGTGCTCTGTTTACTAACTCAGGTATCTGTGGTGTGTAGTGTATCTTTACATTTTGTTGCTGTTTTATGTGCTCTGTTTATCAACTCAGGTATCTGTGGTGTGTAGTGTATCTTTACATTTTGTTGCTGTTTTATGTGCTCTGTTTATCAACTCAGGTATCTGTGGTGTGTATCTTTACATTTTGTTGCTGTTTTATGTGCTCTGTTTATCAGCTCAGGTATCTGTGGTGTGTATCTTTACGCCTGTTATACAAGTACAGTATACGTTATAGTATACCTGTATACAAGTATATAAAACTAGTATTTTATACTTATACACCATGTATAAATACATTGTACATGTATAAATATTGTATAAATGCATTGTACATGGTGTTTGTTATACGATGTTCCCCTCTAAAAACATACTGAAGCTCTTATCATTATCATTATCAAGCACCGTTGTAATTTTATAATTGTTCATAAGAATGCATTAAGAGCATATTATCAGATCACGTGACAAAGTTTTTGATGAAATCGTGTTAGGAAATAGGCGTTACTATTAACGACTATCGTGGGAACTGTCAATATTAAATATTCATGGGAAATCAGCAATTACAAAAGCAGATTAGCGGGCCTAAGAATGATTGTCTTATACTTCACCCGTTTGCTGCGCCTCAGCTAGAGGACAGTAGGACAGTAAAGAAGGATTTGAAAAAAGGTGTACGTTCATACCTTTTAAGGCCAGGTAGCGCAGTTGGTTAGAACGCCAGCTTTGCAATCGTGAGGTTGCGAGTTCGAATCCCACTGTCTGCCTGGTTTTGGGGTGAGCGTCGTTGACGTTCAGCTAAGGATCCTGAGTGGTCTATGCAGCCCCCCGGTCTACTCAGCCGAATACTCGAGAAATCGGGTGTGAGGGTTGAATGAGGAGCTGCATAAGGATACCTTCAGGATTGTTTCTATCTGCTTGCTTTTAATTAACAACACGTTCAGGTTAAAATGTCGAGAGTTGTTTCCAAAAACCTCTTTAACTTCCCCCTAACGGGAGAAATGGCTGAGGAAGTTAAAGCTATGGATGCTCAAATGGAACAAATGATGGAAGCCTCCCCTGAGGCTAAGCAAGTCATGGATAGGATGAAAGAACTCGAGTTTCAAGACGACATGGAGTCCTCGATGGAGTTTCTTACTCTGATAAGACAAACTTCTGAGCAATTTATTAGTGCAATTACTCAAAATCCAGTTCTAAATTACGGAGGAGAACAAACAACAACCACTTTTTTGAAAGTTCCAACTTCTCATGACGGGGAATTTGATGTCCCAGTCGAGCTTTACACTCCAAAAGCGCTTGAAAATGATACAAAGAAGGCTGCTTACATATATGCCCACGGAGGTGGTGTTATAGCTTTCTCGGCTGCTGATTTAAGGAAAGGAGTGCAATGCATTGCTGTTGAGATAAACGTTGTGGCATTCAATGTTGATTACCGCCTTGCTCCTGAAACAAAATGCCCCAACAACATCAAGGATTTTTATGAGGTTATCAAGTATGTAAGTAAGAATGCTGAGAGCTTTGGAGTAGATCCTTCTAAGATTTTTATCGCCGGAGAAAGTGGTGGAGGGTACATATGTCTTGGTGCCATGGTACTGTTAGCTCAGAATGGAGAGGGTCATCTGGTAAAATTAGCTATACCTGGTGTTCCCATGGTTGATGACTACTGCTTTTCTGACCCTCTAGCAATGACTGTAGAGGAAAGGAAGGCTCATTTGTTTATGCAAAAAGTCTGGAAGGACCTTATTGCTTCAGATTTTGAGCAGCAAAAGACCGATCCCCACCTCTTCCCTGGCAAAGCAAGTGAAGACCTTCTGGAGAAATTCCCGCCAACCATCATTTTGGAAGGAGAGTTTGATCAGTTTATTACAGAGGCAACAAGGCTTGCTAATAGACTGCGACGAGCAGGAAGATTGCTGGAATTTGTTGTTTTTCCGGGGGCCAATCATATGTCATCCTACATGCCTGGTACTCAAGGAAATACAGTATTAGTGGACACCATGAAGACAATTGTTAAGGAATATGTTCACTAGTGTCTAGTTAGAACTGTTTACCAAGCTTTCGAATTTTCTAATATGCAGGCTGTATCCTTTAAAATTTTGTAGCTTTATAGATGAAAATGCATGTTCTGTTTGCATTTTATGTTATTGTATCCATATGATTCGTATATACATAATATTATATAGTATATACGTATATTGTATATTGTATATTTTACACATTCTCTCCCCTTTTTATTCGCAATTTTAAGCTTAATTCTGAAAGTCATTTCAATTTAGACATATAACAACATATTAATAGATAATATTTACGTTAATCCATTAAACATCATTGCAATTGTATCTAAATACGACCCAGCATAGTTATTTAATAAAACTATACCCGAAACTCAAAATAGAGCATCAAAAATAGGCTAAAAAGTAACATCTTCTTTATGAGTATACTTTTCAATAAGGACTCGGTGTTGCGGAAATAACTTAACCAATTTATCAGTTCTCCCCATCTCAAAATCGCACAACTCCCACCCTGGGTGAACAACCTCAGTTATCAGCGAATATTTGTCTTCCTCCAACAACCTACTCGTTTTCCAAGCGCCGGGCGGACACAACACCTGGGGATGCTGTCCTTGGTCCACACCCGGACCCAGCACGTGTTCCGTCACTGTTCCGTCAGGGCGGATAAAGGTGTGAACCTGTGCACCGCCTCCGCACCACACGTGCATTATCTCGGACATGTTCTTGCAGAACTTAGCGCTAGGAGCTTGAGGAGTGAGCAGGAAGAGTATGGTGGTTCCAGCACTTCTGATGTTGGAGTCAGTGTGGTTACGGTCTGTGGTTACTGTGGTTTTACTGCGCGCTGTTTCGTTGAAAAACCCTCCTTCAGGGTGGGGTATGAGTTTTAACAAATCCACTAACTGTTCTGCTGTCAGAGAGTCCATTATCTGAGATAGCTAACGTAAACCAAGTAAAAAAGTAAAAACAGAACAATATACAACACACTCTACTCTGCAACTCCAGAGATTGCTTGCTAGATATTATTATAAACGATCCTGCCGAAGAATGATTTGACCATATATGGGTGTAATAACTAATGAGCTACTAAATACCAATTACTAATAATTCTATACACGTAAGAAAAGCGTGATTTCGGCTCTGGAATTCTTAAAAGCAATCCCGGGCACAGAAAAATATTACAAAATTTGATATAGCACCAGACACAACCTTATGCTAATGTTAAGAGATCGTAAAATTACTCCATAGTCCATACACCGTAAGCAATATAAAGCCGAGAGGACAGAGGGGCTGACCAAATTATGATCTGATTAGCATTCTGGACTCTGGAGGCTATGGGGCCTTTAATCAAAGCATAAAAATAAAGGAAAATTTTGTGATATCAAAAATAAAATTCTTGCCGGGATTATTAGGAAGTAAATTGAAATAAAAATAAGTATTTCCGATAAATGAGATATAGGTAACAATAACTTTTAATTACTGTAGTTAGAGGAGAACAGCACTACAAAGCATTATTCTGGTTTAATTAAGTGATATTAAATGGAGACAATCAAACGTCAATGATTGCGTTTTTAAGCAACTTTTATAGGAATTGTTCCTCTTGTCAGCCAGAGTTGATAAACGGGCATCTCAGTGTTTTTTAAATAGAAAAATATCTAAAAAGGTGTAGGAGCGAAATCAGTCCTTAGCGGTCGCTGAAGATACGTTATGAATCACGAAAGATTTCACAAAAAAGAGCTAGCAAGTGAAGTGTAAAACGACATTGGAATTCAAATAGCAGTCTTCCTATTTGGTATGAAAGAGCATGAGCGCTCTATGATCACTCCTTAACTTAGATCACAATCTCGGGTAAAAATATCTCTAAAGCGTAGAGTTACAATAGTGCGTGGTATTGAGTTATACCCCATCTTTATTACTTTCCCTAGATCTAGAGATCATTATCAGATTATGTCTCCTATTTCTGTTCTCAACATAACAATGTGACAAAATGCTCCAATTTTCTCACAAATTTTCCGTAATCCCCGCCCTCTCCCAAGCCCCCTGGGGGCTCGCCTGTTCTGGCAGATAATCCTAACTATGTGGATGCTGATATCGTAACGGAAACTTTAGAAAAAACGAATGATACAAAAAAATCTCCTATAACAGCTGATTACAGATTGGAATGCTGAGTAATCATAGAATGCTGAGTTTGGATAAAACAATTAAACAATAAAGCTCTCTCCCAAGTTGGTACAGACTGTTGCGGCACCTTAACAAGTATAATGGCAATATAATATGACAGCATAAAATGCAAATGTGTAAACGTTAGTCTAGGAATTTCCCGGGAAATCTAGGCTCTAAATTCCCCGATTCAAACTATTGATGGTAAAATATTGATGATTAACACGTTTATGTTTAATAAAACATGATACTTATTCTTTTTATCGCTAAAGCTTTCGAATTTTCTAATATGCAGGCTGTATCCTTTAAAATTTTGTAGCTTTATAGATGAAAATGCATGTTCTGTTTGCATTTTATGTTATTGTATCCATATGATTCGTATATACATAATATTATATAGTATATACGTATATTGTATATTGTATATTTTACACATTCTCTCCCCTTTTTATTCGCAATTTTAAGCTTAATTCTGAAAGTCATTTCAATTTAGACATATAACAACATATTAATAGATAATATTTACGTTAATCCATTAAACATCATTGCAATTGTATCTAAATACGACCCAGCATAGTTATTTAATAAAACTATACCCGAAACTCAAAATAGAGCATCAAAAATAGGCTAAAAAGTAACATCTTCTTTATGAGTATACTTTTCAATAAGGACTCGGTGTTGCGGAAATAACTTAACCAATTTATCAGTTCTCCCCATCTCAAAATCGCACAACTCCCACCCTGGGTGAACAACCTCAGTTATCAGCGAATATTTGTCTTCCTCCAACAACCTACTCGTTTTCCAAGCGCCGGGCGGACACAACACCTGGGGATGCTGTCCTTGGTCCACACCCGGACCCAGCACGTGTTCCGTCACTGTTCCGTCAGGGCGGATAAAGGTGTGAACCTGTGCACCGCCTCCGCACCACACGTGCATTATCTCGGACATGTTCTTGCAGAACTTAGCGCTAGGAGCTTGAGGAGTGAGCAGGAAGAGTATGGTGGTTCCAGCACTTCTGATGTTGGAGTCAGTGTGGTTACGGTCTGTGGTTACTGTGGTTTTACTGCGCGCTGTTTCGTTGAAAAACCCTCCTTCAGGGTGGGGTATGAGTTTTAACAAATCCACTAACTGTTCTGCTGTCAGAGAGTCCATTATCTGAGATAGCTAACGTAAACCAAGTAAAAAAGTAAAAACAGAACAATATACAACACACTCTACTCTGCAACTCCAGAGATTGCTTGCTAGATATTATTATAAACGATCCTGCCGAAGAATGATTTGACCATATATGGGTGTAATAACTAATGGCTACTAAATACCAATTACTAATATTCTATACACGTAAGAAAAGCGTGATTTCGGCTCTGGAATTCTTAAAAGCAATCCCGGGCACAGAAAATATTCAAAATTTGAATAGCACAGACACAACTTATGTAGTTAGAGATCGTAAAATTACTATGTGATACACCTAACCATTAAAGCCAGGGACATAGATGATACAATTATATCATTACAAATTCTGATCTGAACAGGGCCTTTAATCAAAGCAAAAAAAAAGGAAAAATTTGTGATAATCAAAAATTAAAATCTGCGGGATTTAGGAAAAATTGGAAATAAAATAATCCGATAATGAGATAAAGATTAACAAGAACTTTAACCCTTGAACTAGCTAGATTAGGAGTGAGAAAGAACGTGGTACATCAAGCATTGTTACGTTGTGGTACTGTGGTTTACCCTTTTCGTGAAAAATCGTTAGGTGGTAAATTTTAACAATCACTAATGTTTGCTGTCAAGGCAACAGATTAACTCTATAAAAGGACAATATCAGTTCTCTCACTAAGATCATGCAGATATTGTATAAAACGACTCCTAAACAGTTGATTATTTTTACAATACTACAAATACAATTAAATAATCTATAGTAAGAAAAGGTTTGTTAGGAATTGCTTAAAAGCAATCCGGGTACAGAAAAATAGTTAAAAAATTTGCTTAGCATAGAAGATACCTATGCTAATGTTAAGAGATCGTAAAATTACTCCATAGTCCATACACCGTAAGCAATATAAAGCCGAGAGGCAGAGGGGCTGACCAAATTATGATCTGATTAGCATCTGGACTCTGGAGGCTATGGGCCTTTAATCGAAGCATAAAAATAAAGGAAAATTTGTGATATCAAAAATAAAATTTTGCGGGATTATTAGGAGTAAATTGAAATAAAAATAATATTTCCGATAAATGAGATATAACAATAACTTTAATTACTGTAGTTATGTGATATTAAATGGAGACAATCAAACGTCAATGATTGCGTTTTTAAGCAACTTTTATAGGAATTGTTCCTCTTGTCAGCCAGAGTTGATAAACGGGCATCTCAGTGTTTTTTAAATAGAAAAATATCTAAAAAGGTGTAGGAGCGAAATCAGTCCTTAGCGGTCGCTGAAGATACGTTATGAATCACGAAAGATTTCACAAAAAAGAGCTAGCAAGTGAAGTGTAAAACGACATTGGAATTCAAATAGCAGTCTTCCTATTTGGTATGAAAGAGCATGAGCGCTCTATGATCACTCCTTAACTTAGATCACAATCTCGGGTAAAAATATCTCTAAAGCGTAGAGTTACAATAGTGCGTGGTATTGAGTTATACCCCATCTTTATTACTTTCCCTAGATCTAGAGATCATTATCAGATTATGTCTCCTATTTCTGTTCTCAACATAACAATGTGACAAAATGCTCCAATTTTCTGACAAATTTTCCGTAATCCCCGCCCTCTCCCAAGCCCCCTGGGGGCTCGCCTGTTCTGGCAGATAATCCTAACTATGTGGATGCTGATATCGTAACGGAAACTTTAGAAAAAACGAATGATACAAAAAAATCTCCTATAACAGCTGATTACAGATTGGAATGCTGAGTAATCATAGAATGCTGAGTTTGGATAAAACAATTAAACAATAAAGCTCTCTCCCAAGTTGGTACAGACTGTTGCGGCACCTTAACAAGTATAATGGCAATATAATATGACAGCATAAAATGCAAATGTGTAAACGTTAGTCTAGGAATTTCCCGGGAAATCTAGGCTCTAAATTCCCCGATTCAAACTATTGATGGTAAAATATTGATGATTAACACGTTTATGTTTAATAAAACATGATACGTATTCTTTTTATCGCTAAAACTGATATTCGGTTCACAAAGTTGCAGACAAAAAAGAAACAGTAATTATGGAGGGATGGTGTTAGCATAATAGCAAATATGAAACGAATGACGAAGGAGACCTCTAGTACACATTACACAATGATCGCAACAATGAAATTAAATTGCAACTCATCTCAGAACAACTCTGCAAAGAGCCAGGATCTTAATGCCATTATCTTGTGAAAACATCCTACACGGTTACCTAAATTCCAAACTTCTAATCTAAATTCCGTAATTCCAACAGTCAGTGTGAACATGTTCATCTGTACAGTGTACAGTGTACTTAGGTAATTTGATCAACGCATACTTTAATCTGGTTAGATTAAATCTTCGAGATCTGGGTCTTAATAACTTAATTAAGATCACAATCTGTCTGTTTTATTAGAGGACCCATTTGAAGCCTCCGTTTAGTCGGTAAATCTAGCGAACTGTATTGTGTACGGGGATACTGTGGGAAATTAGAAATGTATTAGTATCCTGATATAGTCACGTGATCTTACAATATTATATTTTAACTGATTCATTTTATGAAATAAATTGAGAGAACAGCTGTTGAGCAAAATAATGAGATACATTATTAGTTGCATCAATACAGGGTTAATAACGTATTTGTCACCTGATACTCGATACAAAGACAAAATATCTGCTATGATAACCTAACCCTGCGTACAAATGTAAATTACCGAAACTGTTTGGCCGTTCGAGCATCAGTATGGGCTTGCAGCGGAAATCTAGATCACCAAATTATAGAGCCATAATGACTGTAAACAAAAATAGGTCTTTAAAGTATAGAAACGGACTAAGAATTGTATTGTACCAGAAAATACCCCCAGGTTGACATGTTGGTGTACGATGACGAAAGAGTTGATTTTCTGGTGGTTAACGAAATGACTGAGTCCAGCTTTGTTAAGATTTGTGTTGCAAGTGGTGCTCTTAGATATACAACGTGAGTTGGGGCTTCTTTTTTATTTTAAATTCTGATTTTAGAGAGTTTTCATCTGACTAAGGACCTGTGATAAGAATGAAAAAAATCCTTTTTAAATCGCGTATATTTTTTGTCATGATAAAAATAGATGATTTTACACCATGTTTCAGTATCCGAGATTACCCTGTGTCCCTGAACAAAATCTGCGTTTACAAACTCCTAAAAAGACATGAAACTGAGAACGGTGCAACACTGATTTTAAAAGAAACACCAGGAGATCAAACAGATGCAGTCGACAACAGTTTTAGTGACTGGAACAAGAAAATGCAAACGGAAGAATGCCACAAGTACACTGGAGGCAAATATTGCACTGTCAAGCTGTGAGTAGCATAAGTTCAGATGCGTGCATCTACATGTTGATGTGGCACTCTACATGTTATGTATATATTGCAACATGAAACCTTAGGCAGAGATGCAGTCTTCAGATGTTCTAATTTACGAATAGTGCGACTTAATATTAGGTTGTCATCGGTAAATTTTAGTTCGGTCATTTCAGTGTATCTTCGTGCTATTAGTTGTTAATTTGAATTTATCAGTCTGACAGCGGTACATTTTAGTAATTTCAGTGTATCTTCGTGCTATTAGTTATTAATTTGAATTTATCAGTCTGACAGCGGTACATTTTTCTAATTTCAGTGTCTTTGTGTTTTTGTCACATTGTAACAATTCAACTAATCATCTCAATTAATCTACGTAATATTCAACTTAGCTGTGAATTGTAATACTTGTTATGTAGTTTTCTAAAGAAATGTATGACGTGATTATCTTTCAGTGATGAGACGAGATATCGCGGACAAGTGCTCAACACTGATCTTATAGCAGAAAACCACACAGTATTTCTTGTTGATACCGGTGAAGTGGTTACCATTACTACGGCTGGTGCTTGTGAACTACCTCCCATTTACTACGATATACCTGCACAGGTAACTTGATATGACTATTAGATATGTCTCGTGTATACTTTTTGACATACATATTTGACTTGTATATCTTCGATTCGGCTTTAAACCTGTTTGGCTGGCAAAAGCGAATGATTTGTGGAATAAATGTAACACGCGTTGTTCTGTAGATTGATTCATGTGCGCATCACGTGGTATCGCGCGCGCGCGCACATTGATCAGGACGCCAAAGCTATGTACGCCGCGCATGGCAGTATCAAGTATATTTCATGATAGTTAAGTGTCATCAAACAAATGATACGACGTATTCCAGGGTGATCTGCTGAAGACTCAACTAGTTTATATTATTATACCAGAAACCAACAGATAACAGATCATTTTTACAAAGGAATAGCTACCACCCTCCTCATGTATTCAAAAGCGTCCCGTATTCACAACTATTACGAGCAAGAACCATATGCTCAGACGAGAAAGCATTTGATAAAGCAGCTAAAGACATAATTTCGGACCTGAAGAAAAGTGGCTATGATGAGCAGGAACTTAAGATTGTCCTAGAAAAGGTGAATTTGGTAGATAGGAATGAACGTCTGAAACCTAAGAAAACGGATGTAGAGAAAAAGGAGGAAACCTCTACTAATTTGATACTATCTGCCCAATACTGCAAAGAACTAAAAGACCTCAGAATGTTCCTAGAATCTAAGAAACAGACTATCGAACACATAATTGGTGAGAACGTATCCATCACTATCGCAAATAGAAGAGGCAGTAACATAAGTGACCAACTCTTCAAACGAAGAAAATTCGCCACTACACCAGCAGAATACGTGGAACAGTCTAGAAGAGACAACAACACCTCATCACAAGCATGTAAAAGACCAAGATGCCTGACTTGCAAACTCACGGAAAATAACGCTGATGGGAAATTTATTGTTAACAATCAGATATGTGAACTAGATATGAGTCTAAATTGTAGTGATGGGAATGTTATATACGTAGCTCAATGTAAGTTATGTTCAAGTGGCTTCTATTTTGGCCAGACATGGCTACCCCTTAATATACGCATGAATAACCACAGAGCAGCTTTCAAACCAGAACATTATAATAAGTCATCATTAGCTCTGCACATTCACGATGTGCATTATGAAATGTTAGATGATAAACTTTCTAGTTTTAACTTTGGGATTATCCGTGAATGCAATAGAGATGACCTGAATATGTTTGAGGATATGTTTATCGAGAGATTTAAAGCCAGGATAATTGGTTTAAATAGGAGCAAGGTCAGTGGTAACTAATGTTATCTTTGGTTCAGGTCACACCTCACGTTCTATCACTGGGTGTACGGCTATATTTTCCGCTTCCTAGCTCTCACTTTTGTACACCGAGTTTACACTTTGTTTCTTTTTCTGCCCCATGAGTTTGTAACTTTACAATGGATTTTCAGATTAATTAACCGTATGTTTACTAATATGGTTAGTATTACTAACTCTTAATAAGGAAAATGAAGTAGATAGTGCCGCCAATGTATTAGATCTTGATATTTCGATAAATAGCGAGGGGAAGTTTTCTTGTAGAGTTTATGATAAAAGGGATAAGTTTGGTTTTAAAGTGGTCAAGTTTCAACCTTTGATGAGTAATCAAGCTAGTAGTGTATTATATGGCACGTACTGTTCACAGGTTGTGAGATATTCTAGGATCTGTAATAACGTTGTTGCTTTTTCTGATAGAGTTTTAAAGTTTACTGATGATTTAATTGAGTTGGGTTTTAGACGGGATCGTCTTAGTAAAATATACTTATCAGTGGTAAAGAGGCACGGGCTAAAGAATAAGTTTGGTATTGGGTGTGGAAATATATTAATGCCATAGCTTGACCATGGCATCCTTTTCTAATGTTGGAAAATATTTGTCGCACGTGTTGAATTTAGTTTTATAATAACTTTGCGGCGGCGCAAATCGGAGTCTTAGAATTACGCGGGAAATTACGCGGGAGTAATTGGAGTTTGGGGCAGTTCGTTTTATGACGTATCGACTACGTTTGCTTAGTTTACTTTATTCCTACCGTTTTATTACATTTTTTACTTTATCTACCTATCACTATACAGTATACACATTTAATCTTAAATTATCATTTTAGTGGAACTATGTAAAAGGGGATCGTTGCTAGCGTTAAAACTGTTTTAACCCTGCCATAGTCAGTTGAAAGTCTGATAGAATATGTTCCGTTTGATTTGACCAAACTAATGCCTTTCATTGCTTTATATTCTTCTGATATCAGTTTATTAAATTTTTGACTTCTGCTAGGTGACACTCCTGTGGATGGCCCTCAAAGGCCGAAACTAGTTGAGTCTTCAGCAGATCACCCTGGAATACGTCGTATCATTTGTTTGATGACACTTAACTATCTTGTGATCCTTTACTGTTTTATTCCGGGGCAATTGTGGCTACAAAACTCGATATTGGCTTGTTTTTTTCCACCTCAACGTCAGCGAAAGCTCTAACAAAGTATATTTCATACATGCATCGTTTGGATGCAGTCTTGAGTTTGTAGTTGTCTCACGTCTGCAGCAATGCATATTATAAATCAAGAGGCTTGCATATAATGAACATATTATGTTATATATTATTGGAGGAATATGCACCTGCTCCCAACTCCGCTCACATGACGCATGATTCATCTTATTATATTACAAATTTACGTTCACTAATATGTTTACCTTGATGAGTGTGTATCATAATGGATTTTTCACTCCCAGATCGTCCAATGTCGTGTAAAAGGGGAGTGGCCAGGCAATCTCATCGAGGGGTCCACTATCAGAGGATACATATTCAACGATAACAACGATTTGATATTCAACCAGGACATATGATGTGATCTTTGAAGATTTGAATCTTATCGATTCACTGTATTATTGATTATATTTGAGCTTTAAAAATTCGTGAACGTGCTCACATATTATTTAAATTTTCTCACTCAAATAATATACACAGGGGGGCTGAAACCAGGTTTTCGATCAAACGTAGCCATTTGTCGCCAAAAGCAGTGTGATGATATATTTTTGATGTCATTACTGAGGCTGAGTTGCTTTGTGACATGTGCGAAGAGAACATTTCTGAAGAAGACTCGTTTTTAATAAATGTTGAAGAAATTTGACCCCATCCACATCCGGCCCTTTTGCCATTTACATCAGAGTTATTGCACATTCTTTGCTTCTTTTACCGTTTTTACTTCTCCTTCTGAGGTTTCGTTATGATGTCAGATTACGACCAACAGGTTGTCAAGACAGGGGTGCAATACTCGAACAGAGTTTTCATTGGCAACCTTCACACACGGATTGACGTGTGTATGATCATGAGACATTACAAATTCTACCCAGAGGACATTAAGGTAATACGGGACGTTAATGGGTGCAGTAAGGGATATTGTTTCGTGGATTTTAGAAGCGAAAATGAAGCTAAGAGACTGCTAGCTCAGGAGAACATTGAATCCAAGTTCGGTAAAAAGTTGCTGATCAAACCTGCCATTCGCATACGAAGAAAAGAGGTCCTGGTGGTGAAACAATAGCCAACTGCCAGCCACGCTCTAGAGTGCAGCGCCTCCCCAGATCTGGCCAGTAGGGGTTACCCGTCCCAAGACCACACTCCTACACCCGTTGTCACTAAATCAACCTCCACAACCATGTATCCCGAACCACCAGAGGGTGGCAGGATCCAGAGTTTGCTGTCGGATCGTGGAGTAAATAAGCTCAGACTTAAGGGGGCCGGGGGGTCTTCGTCAAGGTTCTCTCGAGGTTGGTTTTGTAGTTGTTTCTGATAGAGGGGAGTGGTGTCTGTCAGCTGCTTTTGGTCCCATGGAGGGGTGTTGTTCCTAGCCGGGGTTGTCGCTGGTCGGGGGTCGGCGCTCGTGTGTGGTCGTGTTGCGCGAGCGGTTTTCAGTCGCGCGTCCTGAGGGTGGGGTCTGTCTTCTCCTACATTTTTTGGGCGGTCGCCCTGGGGCTTTCAGGGTGTGTTCTGGGGATCATTTGGAGGAGGGGCGTCGAGCCGAATTTTGGGATGGGCCTCAGTGGGTTTTTAATTCGATTTTGAAAATCTTGGACCTCATTTTTTGACGATTTTTCACTTTGCCTGTACTTAATCAGCCGGTTCCAGCCAGTCAAGGCCCTTCCTCGCTGGGAAACTAGACAGCAGACAGATATCTGTTGCCAGAAAAGGAATTATATTTAGGTTACCTAATACGAGACATTTAAATGGTACGAAAGTCGGTGGTTTTTCGAAAAACACCATATTTTCGGACCATATTTTCGATTACTATCAAGTTATGATTATAGTAAGTTATAAATATGATATCGGCCGGTTGGTGTAGTGGTAACACGATCGCCTCCCAAGCAGAAGGCCCGAGTTCAAATCCGGTCGGATGCAAGTCGGCCAGTTACCAAGCTGTGATTTGGTACAGCTTCGGCTGGTGATACACACTCTCTGGCTCGTAAGACTAACCCTCCTACAGCTAGTATAGTGCCTCGGCACAGAGTGGCTTAGGGTTACGGAAAAGGAGATAAGCACCTCAGGCCATCCCAACATTCGGGAGAACTGCCCTTGTATCTTGTTGTATCATCAAAAATGTGCCAATCCTAGTCCTACTAATAGCGGAAAGGGAGTAATGGGCAACAAAGTTGCCAACTGTCTCATATCTCCACCTATTCTTGCTACCTGACCATCCAAAACTGCCACATTTATTGTCATAGGATTCCCCAAGAGGTTGATTTAGTCGACCTTTGCTTGAACTGCATCGTTTACCAGTGGAACTGTCCCCCAGTGAAGCATATGGCTGGTCATTTCCAGCAGGAAGATCATTCATTTCATGCTGATCATTTAGTGCATAAGTATGTTATGTTGCTTTTTTAAGTTACGCTATTTGCATGTATAATATGACTTTGATGAATTGGAAATAGGAGTTTATTAATTAAAGATTTCATGCTAATTCGGATGTTGTGTTAATACTAATTTAATAATACTAATATTGATCAGTGCAAGTGGCTTGGCTGTTATCCCACATTTCCGATGTTGACCCCTGTATTTTATTGTTATATTACTAATAATATCGATCCGTTCTCGTTCAAAAGTGGTTTGCTCAAAACATTAGTTCAATTTTTATTCTCACAAAATAACCACACTTGTGTTTGGATACAACGATAATTAATATGGCATAATTCACAATAATCAATATACTTGACAGTGTACTTGGTATCATCGTAAATAAAACCTTAAACTGATAAATATTTTCATCCATAAGATAAAACTGAAATAAACTTAAATTTGACTGTCCTATTTATGAAAAAAGGTTTCAGCTGGTGTGATATCAAATTTTATTTAAATGATAAGAATCACTCTGTTTTGTCAATACGTGCAATAGTGAGCCAGGGACCGTTCATATGAAACGTCAGCAGCAAGGCCTAGGAGTGGTTGAAAATGGGGAAAACTTATTGCAACAAAGCTTAAGAGGGCTCTTGAACCGGTAAAATATTGCTGACGTAAGATATTAACGGTCCCTTCTTAGCGAACCGCTGAATTCAGATGATCCTCAGCATAAAATTCAGCGGGTGATCAACAGCTTTAAACAATTTAAGCAGTTAGACATTACTCTCAGTGGTACAAAGTGAAAAAGTTAATAATACGCATTTCGTGCATAAATAGTAAGTAAATCCTTTCCTCGGTTGGAATGTTAGAGTGGAACTGTCTGGAATAGCAAACTTGAGGCCCATACAAAATTGTACAAATTCTATTTGGCATTTAAATCTAAAATCATTGCCAAATCAAGACTGTTCAGGGTGTATCAAGTATGAACTTTTAATGAGAGACCGTTCACATATTATTACGAAACCATCTTTCCGCTTCCTCTTTCTTATCACTTTTACATGTATAGAAATAACTAAGTTATGCAGAAACTATTCTGCAGAAACCCTCTCCTTCTCATTGATTACGTAATACGTGAACGACCCCTGAACTTAAATGGAGCAAATTACATTCTCAGGTGCGCATGACATTTAAAACTTCAAACCAGCGCGCATCCATCTAGCATTAAAATGTAAAAACTGAAATTAACAAATAAGTACATAAGAACTGTTTTTAAATCTCGTGATATTTCGGTCCCGCATGAACAATGATATCAGAGAAAGGCTCTGATTGGGTAACATTGATTGTCTCGCCTTTCTTCAGTAGCAATATACTGTAAAACTTGCTGGCGGCTTGTTTTCGGTTATTGTCCTCTGCAAAACTGAAGAAATTGACTTGTCCCTTGGCATCCAGATCACGACGCAACATATTGAGAACAGCGTGTGTTCTCTTATTCCATCTCCTGTTGTCGAAATCTTCGAACGTTTCTCCCTCTTTCTCCTCGACGTCTGACAGATCGTCGCTTGTCTTCTGTTTTTTGGGTGGCTGCTCGTCGTCAGATGAACTGTCGTCGTTGCCGAAGTTAAAGTCGAAGAGATCGTCACCGCCCGCGTCGTCGTCTGAGGACGATGCGTGGTGGGATCTAGTGGGTGATTCTGGTGCTTTTGCTTTGGTGGGGGATGATTCTTTAACGGGTGATTTGGACTGTTTGACTTCTGTAACCTCCTCCTGGTCATCATCGTGTACGGATACAATGTCATCTTCTTCATCTTCTTCGTTGGGGAAGTTGAGAGTGAGGTTGTGGGTGAGGAGTTTGTTGAGTTGCATACCCAGACCAGGTCTGCCAGGTGTGGAGAAGAGCTTGTCAACTCCGGCAGTTGCTTTCCAGTGCATAGACTTCCGGGAGGGTGGAGCGAAAGATGGTGCTTGCACGATGTCGTTGGTGCTATCTAACTCTCGTCTGATAAAATCTGAACTCAGCTGTTTCTCCTGATCAATAACAAGCTTTCTCTTCTTCCTGGTTCTGGTGTAATCGCTGGTGTCCATGATTGGCTCCAACAAGAACTCATCGTCAGCCACAGCCATGGGCTCGTGAACCTCCTTTCCCCCCAGATGTCTGGTAATGTAGTGCCCAGTAGGAGTCTCACCCTTGGGTGTCATTCCCATATGTTGGGGGGTCATGCTGCCAGGATATCTGGACTGGTGGGGGGAGGCAGGTGTCATGCCCATGTGACGTGGTGTCATCATACTGTGGTGAGGAGTTAGACCAGAAGAGTACTGTTTAGGTTCTTCTGCAGTCTCCAGCTGCGAGTAGTCGCCGGAATTGAAGTTTAGGGAGGGGTCCAGGAATTCGCCGCCAAGATCCGACATTTCAGGCATGTTGAGCATGTCACCTCCAGCTCTGATAGGTGTGTCCTGCAATAAAGAATTATATTTAGACAACCTTCAGATTTGAGATTTCATTCACAAAGTAAACTCAAATGACGGAAATAGAGAACTATGAACAACTAAATGAACAAATCGGATTTGGTGAAACTGTTGATAAAATCCCTTACCCTGATAGTAGTTTCGTCTCCGACAGTAGAGTCCTGAAGTGTGCTCTTCTCTGCTCTATCAGTTACCACACTCTCCTCTCGCATCTGGTCCAGCTGAGCTTCTTTTCTTGCCAGCTCAGGATCCTCTAAACCCATGCTGAACTCCATGTTTCCCAAATTACCAGGTTCTTCGAAATCACCCAGAGTAAAAACTCTGTTCTGTGAAAGGTCCTCACGCATGGTTATGTCCTCGAGTCTGCCTTGATTGTGTCCAAACTGTGCTGTCATATCCAAACCTCTGAAATAAAATGTTACCATGAGCAATTTGACACACCCTAGACTTTTAAAAGTGCACTGTAAACAGTCAAGACAGTACATGTTACATTTATCTTCTGCGCGGTGTACTGAAGTTGATTAGCCCGAATCCCCCCAAAACTCAAACTCGCGCGCACACGAAACGCGCATACAAAATGCTGACATTAAAAACTTACTACATTAAGAGCAAGAATTTGAATGCCTAAATTTGGTGCTTTAATCTGTCGTACACTCACAGCGCGATACATTTTTCGCATGTAAACATTGTCGTCCACGAATCACAACTTACCCAAAGTCCATGAGTGTGGAGTCGAAATCGTGAAAAACTTCCGGAAGGGTGACAGCATGCATTGGGGCCTCTCTATTCTCCTCTGGCATGTCAACAATACCCGGCCTGAATGCCATCTTAATTTTGACGAACGCTTCAGAACAATCGGTCAGCAGATATTTTGCTTTTCGGGAGTAAATCCTGACAACTCCCAGTAACAGGTGACCTGAAATGATCGATTTTTAGCGATGTTGAAAAAAACCCACGTTCTTTTTAGATATTCTGTATTTGAGATCAATGAGCCGAACTGGCCAACTAAGTTATACACGGAGAATTGAGATATCTCGCAAGATAGGACTACATATTGCAAACAAAAGTTTTACAAACCAGTGGTTCTGAGTGCAAGTTTCTGTTTTGGAGAGATAATCTCTCCTATACTCTCTGCAATATTCGTCTCATAAACATGAGCTTTGGTTAGCTTCTTGTCCCAATGCGCTGCGAGCCATACCCGCGTCAATGCACTTTTCTTCGCGAGGAAGACATTTGCGTAAAACATCGTCCGATCCCAATCTTACTGTATCCGTGTCAAACTGTTACCATACACCTTTACTGAACATTGAGAATTAATAAATTGGAATATTATATAAATGATAGTTTTTAAAGAGTTCATTAAATAGTATGCAATCGCGAAAAACTCATGTCATATTCGGAATAATTAATGTTTATGTCATGACAGTAGTTGTAAATGTAATGAAACTCTTAGCGCATACTTTTATCAAACTATATCTCTCAATCCATCAAATATCAACAATAGTATAATCCCCAATATACAAAACAACTTCTGAAATGTTAAAAAAGGTTTGAAAGCTTTGAAACTGTGTAAAAACATCTATTAAATAGTTCAAATAACGAACATTTTTATTTCAACTAATCTGTGGAATATTTAGGATTCCTGTATGGACTATAAGTGTAATATTTAGGGTTAGAATCTAGCCGAACATGTAAATAATATACCCCTGCACCACTAGTGCTGAGCCACACTGTGTCATCACTATTTTCTAACCAGCGCTCTACTTCTTGCGCTGCTGTGCGCAACAACTCGTGTATTTGGTCTTGCGGAGCACTGCGCAGGAAGGATGCAAGATGAGCGTTGTTTGCCTTGTCGGATATCAAACAAGGAGCAACAAGGGTCGCATCCCCTCCCAGATTGGGGAAAGTGGTGACGGTGCAGTCTGGCTTGAAGTATGATTGGAATGTTGTCTTGTCAACCGACACTCGGCTGAGACTTCTGGCATTGTTCACGATAAACTCGAAGCTGGGATCAGTTTTCTTAGACAGAGGGGGAAATTCCCAAAAGACCGCTGCATAGTTTTGTTTAGCAATCGTGTCCACTATCAGAGTTCTGAATTCTTTAGATTCTTTCAGAAGTTTTAAACCGTCTTTGTAGGACAATTTCTCGTCTTTTCTGAAGAATTTGAACATTTTCCCACCGGAGAGAGCATTTTGTTGGACTGATATTGAGCTGTTATTTTCCACCATTTCAGATGAGACTCTGGTACTCCGCGTGTTTTTTGCAAGTGTGAGTAAACCTAATACCAGGGCAAGTGAAATGAAACATTTGAGGACAAAACCAGTCCCTATGTTAGACTTTAACCGAGTCAGAATCATGTCCATCTTCCATTCTACGTGTAGTTTAGCGTGTGAAATTAAACTCGAATTATAGTAAGAAACAATTGAAATAATCAATAAACTAGAAACCAAATCAAACTTTTACAAACTACACAAATAATATAAGAACCAAACAACAATTTACAGATCAAAATAATTTATCTGGTAAGTTTTTCATATAAATTCCCAAACTTCAACCCTAAAACCAGTACAGGATAAAATAAATGTAATAAGATACAAATTTCAATCTTTTCTAACTACTCCCAAAACTTTTACAAACTGGCCCCAAAATCCAAATAGGATGTACTATAACTTGTCCTTGTGTTCTCGAACACAAGTAACACTACAATACTTATATTTCAATCTCTCAAACGGAACCAAGCCGTCTAATCCTGTCTCACAATTATCACATTTTCCTGAAACACAACCCCGTCCCCCCTCTGATGCTAAGCGCGCTTCTGCCGCCAATAAACAGCGCTCACGAGGCGTCAACTGGCGCAATCTCAACTTCTGGGCCTCTGCTATCAGCTTATCTTCCTCTTTTTTAGCAGCTTCTTTCTTGGCAGCTTTCTTTTCTTTGTCACGTTGATTCTTGGCTGCTCGTTGAGCTTTCTTTTTCTCTGCCTTCTTTCTTGCTTGTTCCTCCTCCAGTTCGGAAGTTAGAGGGGACGGTATTTTGGCAGATTTGTAGTCCCATTTGTCAGGGAAGAGAGCCATAAACCTCCTAAACTCATCCCTTACTTCCTTATCTCCAGCAACTTGGAACGGTGTTTTCCTGGTGTCATTCTTAAGCTCTGGGTTAGCTCCTTGGTGTAAGAGCTGTTTTACAAAGTTAGGGTCGTTTACACTTGCACACTTGTGTAGCAAGCTGTTGCTGCTGTCTAGAGGTTTGTCTAGGTTAACTTCTGAGACTAACAAGGAGGTAAACAGCTCCTGATTTTGGGATTTTACTGCTGCTAAAATTTTGAAGTAAAGGTTGTCAGGATCTTCGTAAAACTCAGGCTCAATTTCACACAGTTCCACTGGAGTTTCAACTGGTTTTACCTTCTCTGGTCTCTGTTTGAGATGGGAATTTGGTATTGATTTGGGATTTACTGGTTTAGTTTGATGAGATTCAGGAATTTTGGAATTTGAATCAAGTTCTGAGGATTCCTTCTTTGATTCTACAACATCATTAAACTCTTTTTCAAACACTTTGTTTATTTTTGTTAAAAGCTTATAAACCCGCTCTGTTTCTTTCAAAGTAGGTCTATAAGTAGTAAATGGTATCGTCCTGATTTTATCTTTCTTGTTGTCAATCTTTTCTTTTACCTTCTCAAACACGTGCCTATTATAAACAGCAGTCCGGTGAAAAATAACATTGCACCCATTCAATGTCTCGGACCATTCAAGCATAAGCTTTTCGATATCATTAAATAACGCTATCTGATTGTACCTTCTTAGTGACGCACCGTATGATTTAGGAGCATTCCCTTTCCCGTCTCTTATCCCTTGAACTGTTCCTTGTTTTGCTCGCACAGTGTACCTGTGGTAAGTTTTATGAAGGAGCAGCTTTTCGTTCTCGTAAACTGCACCTGCGAAGTGTTGCGCGCTGTAAAGGAACACAGCAATCCGGCCCTTATACTCCAAACCGCTTTTAGGATTATCAGTTGTAGTTTTACTCACTGTTTCAGATAGGATCTGATCAGTTATTTCAGATTTATTGCTGAAAAGTAAGCTGGACAAGCACTTAAAGAAAGAGCCCTGAAACTTGAAGATAACATGAGGGCTACAAACAACAGCATCAGCCAACTCAGAAGAATCTTCTAAAAGCTGACTAGTCACCATGTCTTCAACCCCACTATCAGTATCATCCTCAGAGTCACTGCCAGATAAACTGGAGAGGTCCCCCTCGCACCGCGTGTCAAACTCCTCCTCTGCTATAGCAGACATGTTGCGGAGCTTCTGTTTTACGTTGTAGAGATGCCAGTCTAGTTTGTAGTGTAGTACTTGGTCTGATCTGTCCTGGAATTTGTAGCTGCATGTTCGACATACACTTTCTAGTACTGGACCTGAACTGGACATGCCTGGGGTTTGGTGGATTTATTCAAAAGTTTAGGGTTAAAATTTAAGCGCTCAAAATGGTTCCAATCATCAAATAACGACATTAACACAAAATGGTGAGTTATTGCTGTAATTTTATTATATTATCATTTTTAATATTACACGAGTAAAACAATGATTATAAATAAATAAAATGTTCAATGATAATTTAACAAAGGGAGATAGTTGAGATAAGTTATTAACTATAAAACCATTCTACAGTACCACAGCTACAGGTCATCAGGACACGTGGTAAAATATTCATGAAAATATATTTAAATATTATAAAATTAGATGTAAATTTCACTCCAAACGGCAAAGAATAAAACTTATTTTTTCAAAATCAAATCAATCACCGACTAGGCTCAGCCCAAGTCATAATATGGGCTTAAATTTGAAACTATCACGTCCAGTGCAATCGAAAAAAAAAGCCATACATTTCATATATTTTGTTCTCTGAGCTCATGACATCTTTACCACTGAGCGGCTGCTCCGTCAAACGAGTTCCTGGCGCGTTTATTATCGCCCCCCTCTTCCTGCTGTGACAGCTTGATCTCGTTTCCTTGTATCTTACCGTTGTTTAGCACCATACACGCTGCTTCTGCTGACTCCTTCATTCCGTATCTTATATAACCGTATGACGTACCCTGAATAAACTCAGTTAATTTGGCTAAACTTCTCTCCAGAACAAGTGTTTATTCGGCCACATTGCTTGATAATGTTAGAGCACACTGGAGGAAATAATTAGTTTTTTAGAAGACGATGGCGAGTGTAATATGAAAGTATGAAGTTACAACAGATATATAATATGGAAAGATATATATAATATGGAAAGATAATTAACCTCAATTACCAAACATATACTAACTGTAATTTACATAATATTCAACAGATTAGAATCATGGAGACACTTTGACTGGGTTTGTCCAGTCAAATAATCTATATTTCTCATTATAACTCCACTTTTGACCTATTTGGCGGCCATTTATTAATTCCATAATTGCACCGGTTTTTGTTCCAGGGGGTGCGATTAAAAAACTAATTGCACTGTTTTGAGAGTGACCGAAATCTTATTAGGTACGATTACTAAACTAATTGCACTGATTCCCTGAAAGATGCTGTAAATCATGGCTCAGGCAGATAATTAGAGTTAGAGAGAGCACCTCGTAAAATGAGGACCTAATCAAAACCGAGTATTTTACTACTGTGAGGTGCTGATTCAAGTATTGACTTCAATCAACTACCTGAGGTAGTTTGACGACCGTTAGTGCAATGGTAGCACGAAATAAATTTATGGGCATAAATTTAAATTTAAAGTTTAGGACAACATCTTTCCTTGTGTTTGGAATAAGTCAATCCTTACATTGCATTAACACAACACAGTATGAGGCTGAGATCTCACTAATTATTTGTAAAACAAAAAGTGGCATAACTTATGTTCTGATAAATATTTTTGCTTCTAAATTTCACAGAATGTTAATAACAAGTATCTAAACCTTTGTGGCAAGTTTTGTGTGATTGCGAGCTTCACTGAGCTTATTTTAACAATTTAGCCCCTGAGCGAGCTAGCTTGAATTTCTCACCCAGAACTGTTTACATCGGTTAATAGAAACCACCAAAAAAAATCCTGGGTAACAAAATTAAAAAACCAGCGATTTATTCACGTTTTACCAATTCTATTCACATGGATCCATCGCACATTCCATTCTCTCTATATTTTAACTGATAAGGACTATCACAGATGATCCTTCCTGCTTGTTTATATCGTTCTTCTTACATGGAATGTGCGATGTATCATGGTGAATAGAATTGGTAAAACATAAATAAATCGGTGGTTTTTTAATTTTTTTACCCAGGATTTTTTTTGGTGGTTTCTATTAAGGGGGGGGGTCAATGGGTATTTTTTTGTGAAACTTGATTTCGAGATAGTAGTTGACCAACAAACTAGGACCAGTGACCGAACTTTTGAGGGGGTCCCGGACCCCAACCGCCAAACGGTGCGCGCAGGGCAGCCACGCCCATATTTGGTCCAAATTAGGCCCAATTTAGCCAAATACCCTGAACATGCCCAAAACCCAGGTTTATGGTGCTCTACTTGTAGCTAGTGGTCTCCTGAACTCGTATATGAAATTTCATCAAGATTGGACAAAAAATGACTGAGTTATGAGCCAAAAACCATATGCCCATATTTGGGCATACGCACCAAATTTGGTAGATTTCGTCCCATAAATTGGTCAAATATCAATATTTTTGGATGAGACTTACTTTATATGAAAGGTAAGCCTAAACTACATATTCTCTGTAAGTTATAGCTTTATATCTGTTTAAATGTGGATACTAAGGCGAAAAAACCACAAAAAATGAACTAAATTGCCCATATCTCGGTTCGCGATATTCGCGGAATTGATCTCACCAAAATTGTAACAACTCAATCAGTTTTCAAAATTTTTGCATGAAATTTTTGAAATCGACTCGAAATCGCATTTCGACCTTATTTTAAGAACGGATTTTTGATTTAGGCCTCAAAAAAAATTTGGCGGCCAAATTCTGAATTTCTGTAATATAATTTTGGAATTTGGCCGCCAAATTTTTTTTGAGGCCTAAATCAAAAATCCGTTCTTAAAATAAGGTCGAAATGCGATTTCGAGTCGATTCCAAAAATTTCATGCAAAAATTTTGAAAACTGATTGAGTTGTTACAATTTTGGTGAGATCAATTCCGCGAATATCGCGAACCGAGATATGGGCAATTTAGTTCATTTTTTGTGGTTTTTTCGCCTTAGTATCCACATTTAAACAGATATAAAGCTATAAATTACAGAGAATATGTAGTTTAGGCTTACCTTTCATATAAAGTAAGTTTCATTCAAAAATATTGATATTTGACCAATTTATGGGACGAAATCTACCAAATTTGGTGCGTATGCCCAAATATGGGCATATGGTTTTTGGCTCATAACTCAGTCATTTTTTGTCCAATCTTGATGAAATTTCATATACGAGTTCAGGAGACCACTAGCTACAAGTAGAGCACCATAAACCTGGGTTTGGGGCATGTACAGGGTATTTGGCTAAATTGGGCCTAATTTGGACCAAATATGGGCGTGGCTGCCCTGCGCGCACCGTTTGGCGGTTGGGGTCCGGGACCCCCTCAAAAGTTCGGTCACTGGTCCTAGTTTGTTGGTCAACTGCTATCTCGAAATCAAGTTTCACAAAAAATACCCATTGGCCCCCCCCCCCCCCTTAACCAATGTAAACAGTTCTGGGTGAGAAATTAAAGCTAGCACACTCAGGAGCTTACTTTGTCAGACAAGCTCAGACTCACACAAAACTTAGCACGAAGTTGTGTCTAATTATGATTAACATTCTCTAAAAATTTGAATCAAAAATAATAATCAGAACGTAAGTTATGGCGCTTTTCCATTCTGAAATAAAATAATTAGTGAGATCTCAGCGAGCTGTTACAATTTTAAGAGATAAGGATGGGTAGACTTTTGAGGCCCACCCTGTATAACAACAAAGTCGGTGCGATTATAAACTAATTACACTGGTTATAACATCAGAGGCGTGGAGTTATACGCGAATCTAACTGCATGTATAATACGATTACACCAGTTATTGCACTCGGCTGCGCCTCGTGAAATAACTGCAATAATCGAACTCGGCTTCGCCTCGTGCGATTATTGTATCCATTTCCACTCGGCTGCGCCTCGTGCAATTAATAGTGTAATCGCATTATACGCAGTTAGATTAGCGTATATAATTGTATTACCATTATATTATACATTTGTATTAATTGCATACAATATACATTTGACAAGTTCGACATTTCCCAAACATCTCGACAGTCAGAATGAACAAAAACTAAACTATTTTGTTAGCAGTAACCCACCGGAATGAGCTTAATTTCGATGAGAGAAGCAAAGCGACAGAAAACGTCTTTAAGAGCTATCTCGTCAGGTATAGTGGGTGTGGCTACTAGGAAGAGTTTAGCTCTGCAGGCAGTTCCTGGAGCTGCCATTGGGAGAGGGTTTGGTAGAGATGTGTCTGTGTAGGGACACTCTGAGGAGCGAGGGGGTTAATAAAACTGCAGGTTGACATTTAACTAACTTGGGCGAAAAACTTGGGCAATCAAGATTTTACTGGACACTGAAAATTCATCTTCATATTCCTTTCTACTTTGAATCGTATAAGAATTTCTTTGCACTCGTAAGTAATATTTAAATAATGGAGGTAACAAAGTACAAACCGTTTCCTCTGTTGGTGGGAACTTGTTGAGCAGGCATAGTGGGGGGTACTGAGTAGCGGGGTGCCATCATGCTCACATTGCGCTGCACTGCGTTTGCGGAGTTCCATGCATCCGTGTCCATTCTCATTCCTGAACTTCCCTGGTAATGATTTAAAGAGTCAGTGTGGAGAATTGTTTCAAATTCAATGAAATTCTATGATTCATAGCTCGAAAACTGGTCGTTTGTTCATGTAAATATAGGCAAGGTAACTTGAAATACAATAGCGACATGATGAGAATTGGTGGACACAGAGTATCATGTAATACTGCCAGCCCTACTAATTAGTCCGTTACTGCCCCCCGCCCCCCGTTACTACATCCCCCTCCGTTACCTGTCGCTCTCTGTTTCCTCCCGCTCCAGCTGGTCGGTCCTCAGCGTACTTCACAATCAGCTTGTGTCCTGGCGGATACTCTAACCCGTCCAACTTGCGCTTAGCGTAACACGCTAACTCAATTGTTCGGTAACCTGCGTATGCGAACCCCCGCGATTCTGTGCTTCCTCGGTAGTGCTTTAGCTCGAATGATTCCAATCCAGGAATTAGGTCAAACAAACTGGAAGAGAGAACACTTTATTAGCATCTGAGAATTATGAAATAGTTTTCCAAAATTTGGTTGTCACTATAAATCTAAGAACTGGCCTATGAAAGACAATTTGTTTTGTCACTAAATTATTAATAAGTTAGTCATATTTTTCCTTTGAGTATGCTGTATTAAGCAAGTCAACAATCGCAATGACATAATCAATTCAATAGCGGATGGCTTGTCAATTCTTCTAGATGCTCTGTCATTTCTTAAGTTTAATTGTCATAACACATCAGAGAAGTCGTTTCTCGGGTCAAGTGATATGAATCCTTGTGTCACGTGATTGGTTACCTATACAGTTGTTCTTCGTATAAACTGGTGTGACATACAATGTACAGTCGTTGCATGGCACCCGGATCAGTCAGGTCTGTAAAACCTGTAACAATCGGAATATTGTCAATTTGTCACCATGTTGACATAATTGGTAGATCCTCCAGGTCTGGTCTAGGTTTTAATGATGATGAATAGAAGAACTCTTTCAAAAACATGAAACACTTGCACTTACATCTGTCAATGCAATTAACACTCTGTCCTTGAAATTACGAAATTAAACATTAAATGGTAAACTTACTAATTGTTTCTGGTTGTGGTTGGTTTTGGTGATCAGCTGGAGCAACATAAGGTGCACTACTGTAGGTGCTCCGTCTAGAGTGATCAAGGTGACGTGAAGAGGAATTATCTCTTGAATTATCGCTTGAGAAACCTCCTGAATTGGAGAGCACAGTAGTGATCGCAAATAAATTGAACAGAAGAATAAATAGGGTTCATGAAGAGCTTGAATAGCCCGACAGAAGTAAACTTCACGTGATAAATCGTTACATAAATGGTTACAGAAATGAAGTTCCTACCAGTTCTTGCATCCCGAGGAACACGGGGTTCAGCAATCACTGCTCTGTATTTCTCGTCACAATCTTCAAGAGCACTGAAAGCTGAGGAGGGCTTCACAAACTTCACATAGGCACAACCCTGCATAGTGCATACTTGTTAAACCAGCGAATTGTTTAAAGCCCTTTAAAAGTAAAAGATATCAAACTGAATCTAGAATCGAAGTTTGAAAATTTTTGTTTCCAGTGAACTATTTGTGTGTTGGCACGGGGGGGGGTGCAGGTACTTTTTTGATGGAACATAACCCTAAAAGTACCCGAGGGGTGGGTGGGTGGGTGTTTTTTGAAATTTTCGAAAAGTATCATGGTACTTTTTTTGTCCCAAAAAAATAAGGGGTACCCCAAAACATGATTATAAAAGTACATGGTACTTTTTCATTACCAAAATGTTAGAATTGGGGTTTTCTGAAATTATACCTAGCTTGTTGTAGATCTAATTGGGTTTTTCTGAAATTATACCTAGCTTGTTGTAGATCTAATTGGGTTTTTCTGAAATTATACCTAGCTTGTTGTAGATCTAATTGGGGTTTTCTGAAATTATACCTAGCTTGTTGTAGATCTAATTGGGTTTTTCTGAAATTATACCTAGCTTGTTTTAGATCTAATTGGGGTTTTCTGAAATTATACCTAGCTCGGTGTAGATCTAATTGGGTTTTTCTGAAATTATACCTAGCTTGTTGTAGATCTAATTGGGTTTTTCTGAAATTATACCTTCCCCCTTTAGATATGATTGCAATTTCTGTAACGGAAAACCTTAAAAACCTTAAATTTGCATTACGTTTGCCCGAACTTTCGCACTGTGGACCTTAAAAAACCTTGAATTTAACTGTTTTGGACCTTAAAAATGGGTCAAAAGGGTCCTTAAAAGACGTGAAAAAACCTTAAAAATGACTCTTAAAAATGCCGGCAACCCTGCTCACAAGTCACATCGAGATGTCAGAACATCTTCAGTTTAGGAAAACTGTAGAACAGGAATTTTGTGAAAAAAAAGGAGGGGGTGGGGGGTCATTCGGGAAAATTTCGAAAAGTACCGTGGTACTTTTTTGTTATTCCATTCTTGAAGGAGGTGGGTGGGTGGTTATTTTCAGAAATTTCGAAAAGTCAGCATATGTTCCATCAAAAAAGTACCTGCACCCCCCCCCCCCCCCCCCCCCCGGTTGGCAGAATGTTTTTTTTAAATAAATTACCTTGGATTCTCCAGATGATCTATCAGTGAGTATTTGAACATGGTCAACAGATCCAAACTTGGTGAACTCTTCCTCAACCTCGCTCGATGACATTGTCTTGGGAACTAAGATGAATATCCGGGATCGGGGCTTTGCTTCCCCTGACACTGAACGGCTTTGGCCCTTGTTGTCAGCCAGAAGTACCTGGAAATTGAATGTCAAAGGAATTAAATTTGAGCTGGCCTTGAAAAAAAATTATCAAAAAAAAATGTTCAGGAAAATATAGACAATACTAAAATCCAAGAATTACAAAACTCAATGACAATGATGCCATTTGTTAAGACACACGCATTTACCTTTAATGGTTTTGAATCCCCTCCGATAGTTTCTCCATGGAGTTTTTCCATGGCAATGTGAGCTTCCGATGCTTTCTCAAATTTGATGTAAGCTATCCCTTTCCTTTCTTGGGTGTTTCTATCTGTCACAACCCAAACATCTTGAAGCTGAAAAAGTTTTAAAATTAATCTAAGTCTAAGTTTTTTGACACACTAGCAAGATGGATGTTTTATCTTGATAACCCCTTCTTTGACATTGTCCCTCTCAATCAAATGTTTACAATTAGGGGATTGCCGATTTAATTACAGTGGTTCTGTTATCAGTAGGGTTAAGATATGGGCAAATACATATTATGTACTAGGTATGATCAACTATTGTGTTTCTGTACTTACTTTTCCATAGCTTCCAAAGGCTTCTTTAATATCGTCATCAGTGTGGTTTTTAGAGCAAACAACAAACAGTCTAGAAAAAGGAGGATTGTCGTGATCCACCTTAGTCTTTCTTTCTTCACTTGACATGACTTATATAAGCTAAGAATATTTGATTTAGAATAAAATAAGAAATGATGATGAAAGCAAGCTTCTAAATTCGGGATAGCCTGTGGCAGGCAACGCCCGATTCTAATGCTTCTACAGACCTACACAAGTGCAAGTAAGTAGGTAAATATTTCATGCTAGGCATGTGGCACCCATTACGGTAACCATCCATTGAGTTTTTGCTTTTTCGCTGTACTATATTGCACAGCTCCCCATTTAACCCTCACACACGATTTCTCGAGCATTCGGCTGGGTGGACCGGGAGGCTGCATAAATCCTATGGGATCCTTAGCAGAACGTCGACGACGCTCACCCCACGACTAGGTAGACAGCGGGTATTGAACTTGCAACCACCATAAAATAAGAAAATACTGTCAAATACAGTCAAATACAGTCAAATACAGGCAAGAAAAATATTTTTCAAATGTAAGCTTGACAGGTTATTTGAGAGGTTTCAGATACTAGGAATTGGGATAATGTGAACCTCTCTATATCAGGTTTCAGATACTAGGAATTGGGATAATGTGAACCTCTCTATATCAGGTTTTTTTCTACACCGCATCATGCACTTTTTGGCTCCCCCAAGGAGCCGGCCTAGTAAAAAGGGTCACTCAACAAGCCACACACTGAACCGAAAAAAAACGTTTACATTATAGCTAACGATATTCTTTCATCTATTTCTAGATACATGTAATATAATCTACTACATATTAACGTTAAAAAGAGCTGTTATTATATGTATTCCTCCCAAACAAACGTGAAAATGAATCCTCTACAAGCAGTGGACTCGATGATTAAAATCTCTACATAGACGGCTCCATAATTATACGTGTTAAAACAACTAGGTTTCTAGGTGTGCTTTTTTTCCCTTTAAAAAAAACAGAGGCTGGGCCTGGGTGGCCCACGAGAGGATAACATGTGGATGCTTTGCCTACCTCTGGGGTATGGCACACAGTGGGGCTCCATGCTGACATTTAGCCTAAAAACGAGTTTTCCTAATGTTTTAGATTGTTGTAAATTCTGATAGAGAATAAATAACCGGATTCAATGCTTTTTAAATTAGCTCAATATCTCGGTTGGGTCAAAATTTACAACCATTTGAAAAGCGCGCCTGAAAATAACCTGCCTGCACATGCCCAGAAACTCAATTTCACTGCCATTTTTGAGTCAGGCTGAGGTTCCTTTTGTTTTCAATGTTTTTCAACTTTTGATTGATTGAACATGGATATAAGCATTCTTAGTACTGTTTAAGAAGAAAAAACCATGATTTCGGTCAATTTTGGATTTTTGGTAGCTAAAATTAGAATATTTTTCAAAAATAGGCCTTAAAATTTCATTCGCTGACCACAAATGGGTGGTAAAGTTATAAATGGCCCCATATGGCCCGGGTTTCATTATGTTTTCTATGTTTTCCCATAATTTTTCTAGCAGAACCCAGAAGATTTGGCTTCGGAACGCTTCGGAAAAAAAATTATGACCCATTTTTGGTACGAGCCTGAGGCGTCAAAATAGCGCGAAAAATGAAAATTGATAGATTAAAAACTGATTTTTTCATTTATTTCATAGCTTTTTGGTGCACACTTCGATATTTTATGCTAATACCAGCAAAGTTCAATTGGAATAAGCAATATTTGGATGGAAAAATAGTGCATATGAGCCAAAAATAGCCAAAATCTGGCAATTTGAGCTCGGAAAATCCAGGGGCAACTCTGATTTCATAGGATTTTTCTTATGTTTTTGTCATATTGCATAGTTTTTATGGTTCTCCTTTCTGAAATACCCTTAAACAATCACATCAGCATGATTGATGACCATTTCCATACGAAAAAGCAGAAAAATGGGACAGAAACCGCTTAAAATTCGATGAAATCTTAAAACTGCTAGTCAAAAAAGATGCTTTTTGTGTGACAGAAAGTGCCAAATTTTCGAAAAAATTGATTTTTTGCCCAAAAAAGTAGTGAAAGTTGTCCAATTTCACTGAAATAAGTCATAATTGACGATTTAATCCAAATTGACACCACCAAGATGTGGCCAGAGGCATAAAAGGGCAAAAAAACCAAATGTCAGCATGCCCTTTACGCGAGCCCCACTGTGTGGCAGTCCTATGAGAGGATGCCGGAGGAATCAGAATGTGTAATGTAGGATGGTGGAACGTTGTAAGATGAGTTGTGTATGAACGCTTAAGTGGCAGCTGGGTGTGGAAGAGAAAGGTGAACTAAGACGATATGAGAGTAGGCAAATGTGCATGTGCTTGGATATTTATTGCTAAACGGAGTTTATTCCAGGAAGTCCCAATTTTGGGAAAAGTTTTCAATTACAGTAATCGATTTAAATCAATTTCATCAACAAAAGAATGTAGTTGGAATACAGGGGAGGGGTTCAAATTTCGATATACACATTTCGGCTTATATCATGTGCACCTCAGTATACCAGGTTTTACAATAAATTAATTCAAGTGTTGCAATTGGCAGAGCACAATACAGAGGTAACGGAAATTATCCACTGCTACCAATATTATATAATATGAAATATCAAAAATCAAATATATACACATCTACTCCATCATAGGGGCAGGGATGAGGTTATAAGAGACTTCTGATAGTGGTTTCTCATATTTGCTGTCCATTTTTTCCCTCTGTACCCTCGTAGAGCAATGAGTGTGGTTCTTAACATTGCGAATCTTATTCTTGTCCTCACATGTCTTACCACACCGCAATTACAGTAATACCCTGATCTACCATGGACTTTGGGGGAAGCAAAGACCTGCAGTAAATCAGGGTTTGCGGTAAATCAGGGTTTGCATTAACTATTAGAAGTTGTTAAAACTATTGTAAAAACCAATTGTATAAAACTATTAGAAATTAGACTATTAGAAATTAAACTAATTTCTTGTTGCCTCTGCATTACCATATCAAAACATGTGAATATCACGTTCAGATCAGATCAGATATTGCTCCTGTATCTCGAATCAACCCTTCTCAAACCCATTAGAACCCTGTCATAGGAAATTTCTATTATTTAGAGGAGCAAAGGCGTAATGTGAGAACATGGGTACGTGATTCGAGAAGCAGTAACGAATAGGAGCTTTCAAGCACACCTTGAACAGTGCTAATGAAATCACACTGTTTTGACTGACACTGCAAGGGAGTGACTGCTGTACGGGATCACGTACAAGTAAATAAAGCCAGACAATCCCTCTTCTCTAAACACTTTGAAATTGAAGGAAAAACTGTAGACAACTAGAAGAAATAATCAAGTATGACTCAGGGAGACCTTGAAAGTTACGGGGGAAAGGAATTGCCTGCGGTAAATCGGGATATAAATCGGGTTTTGGGGTAAATCAGGGTTTTACTGTATCTCTCAAACTCTATGTTTCGAATTCTCAGTTCATAGATCAAAGATTTCTTATAATGTGACATGTTGTAAAAAGAAAAAGGGATGCCATACCCATGACCTACTGTAATCAACGACATTTTAAGGAACTTTCAGGAAATCACATATGAACCATTGATTGAAATAAATTTTCGTGCACATACAGAATGAATGGTTAATAATTTAATATATATGTAGACCAAGCTCTGTACACGGGATGCTTCCTGGAAGAATCCAGTTCTTTTAGCGGGGCACCCTACCTAAAGCCAAATTGAGATATAATAATCATATTCCTAGGGAAATAATCAGAAATCGAATACCAATCAAATAATATGATATATAGGAGTAGTAACCATATTTACTATGCAAAATGCCCCAACCTCATAGTGTAAATTTATATAAAATTCAAATTCCATACCACCACTAAACCCCAACAATATATAGAACCCCTATATCACTATACTCCCTCTTTGAAACATCTGGCAGACTTGGCAAAGAGACACTCATTCTCACACCTAAACCATCAGACAGCTACATATACAGAGCAGGGACAATATGGAATACAGTACGACAAAATCTCATGCTAACTACATTCACCTGTTATAAGCCCAATCACCTCAAATCATCCATAAGAATCACCATCACTCACACTCAAAAGGAAGGAGATCCAAATGACTGGAACTTAGCCGTACTACTTCGGTAGTGCATATACTAAAATTGGAACGATACAGAGAAGATTAGCATGGCCCCTGCGCAAGGATGACACGCAAATTCGTGAAGCGTTCCAAATTTTATCCCTTGTAGCAAATCCACTAATGATCATATACCATTGAGAGTGTTTAGACAAATTTTACCTGCATTTATTGCTCCATTAACACATCTTGTAAATTTGAGTTTATCCAGTGGCATCATGCCAAACAGCTGCAAGGTTGCAAAAGTCACCCCAATCCATAAGGATGGTGATACTGAGAATCCTAGTAATTATCGACCAATCTCAATTTTACCGATTCTTGGAAAGTGCATCGAATTTTGTGTGAACTCCCAACTGACTCAATATCTTGATGAAAAGGGAATACTTTCAGAGCATCAATATGGTTTCCGTAAAGATCACTCTACAACTTATCTCATGTTAGATCTGTTTGATCGTATATTTACTGCTAAGAACAGTGCCAAGCATCCTGCAATTATCTTCCTGGACATCAGAAAGGCATTTGATACTGTTAACCATGATATTCTCATTCAAAAGCTGAAGCATTATGGAATAAAAGATACTGCATTGAGCTGGTTTAGGAGCTTCCTCACAGATAGATTACAGCAAACTAGAGTTGGGAGTAGGATAAGCAGTTTACATTCATTGAACTCTGGAGTGCCTCAAGGAAGTATATTAGGACCAATTCTATTCAGCATTTTTATCAATGACCTGCCTAATGCATGCCTATTTTCTAAACCTTATCTATTTGCTGATGACGGTGCATTATATTTTGACAATATATCTAGAGGAAACTATGGTAACATCAAACAAGAGTTGAAATTAGTTATCAGATGGCTTCAGGCTAATAAACTATCCCTGAATAATGAAAAAACAAAACTAATGATCCTTGACTCTAAGCCTAACCTTGATGCCATCCTTGTTGAAATT